AAACTGTAACTTTCGGGGTATGCAGGGGGTGCTCATGCAACTGTTGGAGGTTCACTGGAGAACAATATCGACAATTTTGTTTATTGACGTATCCATGTAAATGAAAATGTGCTTCATCACTCATAAACAACATCATTTCATTGTTATCCAATCATGAGCTGTTCAAAACTAACACGTTGCTCCTAATCCCCTGGCAACAGTTGTTGACAAACTTGGATTTTGTAAGGATGGAACAATAAACCGTTCTTCCACATGCGACGTACAGAGGACACGTGGATCCCTAGGGAACTTTCACGCGAACGGACTGAACGATTCGGGCTTTGCAGCGTGTCAGCTCTGATTCTGTCTACGTTTTCGGAGGTTCTATCAGTATGGTTTCGCCCTGGCGTTTTTTCTTCATTACATTTGACTCGCCATTTTGAAAGTACCGACGTACAGTGAACACACGATGCTCAACGTTCCAAACCACCTTGCCAACTGAAACGGTACGTCTCCCACTATCCACCACGCCCTTCCCCACCGACACGGGACCAGCCCACTCGATGTAGTAACCATTCGTTCTCTCTGACGGATCCAGTATAACATCTGAAGAGACTGATATCGAAAAAGTATGTGATCAAATGAATGAGGACTTAGAAACTTTAGTACTAATATCGGAGAAGTACTGTCTAGCGCTAGACTCAAGAAATTAGTGGTGATGCTCTTTGGTAGGAGCCTTCACAGCTGTTGAAAAGAGGATACAGTAACCTTAAGTATATACAGGGTGACTTTGAAGTTGAGTCATTAATTTTCAGATAATGATTGTAGAAGGAAGATAAACCAAAATATGTGTGTAAAAATAAAAAAAAAACATTAAAAAAAAATGTTACCTAGTTTTATAAAGTATCCTCCCCACAAGTATTTCAGTGCGGACCTGTATTTGTTCGTGCAGTCTTGGAGCACCGGCATGCCCTCCCCTGTGAGGTCTTAAGTCACCTGATTCACGAGCCCTTTGTACTACATTAACAAAGGCACGAGGGGTTGGTTGCACTCGATTAAATAAGAATCATGTCCACAAGTTCAGCATTTTCGTAAACATGTGCCATTTTTTATTTCGTTTGAGCCACGCAACAAACACCACTATTCACTCACGCGTTACCGACTGAAACATTGACTGACATCGTGATAAACGTTTCAAATTCTTTCGCTTTTTTGTTTCCGATGCGATGAACAGATAAGGCGGATTATATCCGTTGTTGCCAAACACGAGCACATAATATTATTATTGAGACAGGGCGGTACTCAAACTTCTAAAGGGCTATAACTTTGTTAATTTAATTTTTTCAGAAAAATGTTAAAGGAAAAAAACATTTCTTTTGATCAGATCTACTCACTGTTAAAATAAATGACTCAACTTCGAAGTCACCCTACCCTGTATAATGGTAGACGTATCCTCATACAGCAATCGAAGAAAATTCTGGTCGAGGCTTTAGTGCTTTCACATACTAATGCAGATGCGCTGTTTATGCCATGATTACGTAAACGCAACGATAAAAAAAAATTAAAAATGCATGCTTGCGTTTCATCGCGAGAGCTAGGCGGCGAGATCATGTTTGTCAACGCTACTCCAGCTTCCAATTGTTACGAATTAAATATCGAGGGATCCTGCATTCTATTTTTATGTTTTAGCAGGTTGTCACCAAACAAACTCCTGCTTATCTGTATAACAAAATTCCTTCCGGAAGCGACGTTCACACTCTCAGCCTCGTTCAAAGGTTATTTTTTCTTACAATATCGCACGGGTTATAATAAGGCACCAATTTCCTACAGTTTGCTTATGAACTTATTTAAAAAACAATGAAGAGTTTTCTATTGGCTGATGACTGTGCAATATGAGACATATAAAATGTAACTCATTATTTATGATGTATAAAACATTTTTTAAGTCTGTTTTTTTACCATTCTTGCTTGTAAGGTATCACGGTGTGGTCTAGGTGAAGAATTATTATATTTTCTTTCGGGTGAATGGATCCGAATTCTACCATTTCTCAAAAAAGCAACACACTTTTTTTTTTAAATGTGGAGCTTTGTAATTTCTTTTGTGTGGCTATCTTGGCTGCATATTCTTCTAGTGCCTAATCTCAATGAATATTGGCGACCACAATTGGCAATCTTATTTTGTTAACATATGTTCTGAGTAGATCGGTTGTTCTTAAATGTCAATTGTTTCAGGTTAGGCAGGATAAGCGGCAGTGTGGCGCACTGGTCCTCCATTTCCTTCTATCCCTTCTTGTGATATGAGTTGGATAATTCTACATTTATCTTGATTATTATCTGTCTGAAGTACGTTAATACCATTTAAGATTTCTGCCTTTTTTCTAAACATTACATTACTATGCCAGTAGTAATATGATGATGCTATGATATTCATAACATCCGACGATAGCGCCACATTTCAGAAGCAGAAGGCTTCACTGAGTGTCCATTCATCTTCACCGTACCTAGATAGTATTGAAAATATTTTTGGATGGCTATATTCACCACCATTTATAAATTAGTTGCGCATCCACTTACTTATCCATTCTAGAAATTACACAAGGAAATTTGCTGAATTTCAACGATACCAGAGATAAAACAAAGAAAATCCCTTGTTCGGCAGGAATATTTATGAAACGTGAACATTTTTCATTTCCAGTTACACAGATTTTATTAAAATTTATTTTGCGATGTCAAGTATTCGAGAATTTTTCTGTGATATCGTGAAGGTGAATGAATATATTTATTTCTTAAAATAAAGCCCCAGATATAACTTTGAACATAATCTCTCCTCAGAAAAGCCAACATATATTATCCGTCTGGTACAGCTAATATATATATTTCATGGGCAGCACATTAACTAATCATTTCCACACATAGCAGATACTCGTATTACTGATTTTGTACAAATACAGACCACACAATCATCCAGATGAAATCTCGCTACTCAACCAATTTTATTTTTTCACATCTTCTCAAAGATACATACTCTACAGACTCTCTCGGCATTCTGCAACCAACAAAGTACGCTGGCAGGTCGTTGAGTCATTCCTCCATAGGTGACGCTCACAGCGCTTATAATTAGGAATACTGTAATGAACTACTTGTACACTAGCAGTTGTTTAATCAGGAAGTTGACATTTTGTCCTTTTTTAGTGGTTTCTTACGTTTTTTAACCCTTCCGCACTTGGGCTTTTAGGCCCTCAGTAAAACACCTTACCGCTTTAGTAATATATTTTATTTTGATTAGTAAGAAAGAAAGATCATTGATCTCCTTACTACAGCATTTACGGTGTTGAACATATTATTTATAATATCTTACAATTCTTTACAAATTAACAATAACAACTAACTATAATTACTCCAATTTTGTAAATAACAACTGAAAAAACATTTAATACAAAGCACCCCTACGTTTTTTTACCATAATTGAATTTTAAATATCCTAATTTTTATATTGGTCTTATTCCATATTAACTAGTCATACCTGATTGTTGGACTTTCTATTGCAATCACACAAACTATATTTGAAGATTATTTCTACTCTTTAATTTGATCTGTTACTGAAGTGTTTTTTAAATTTAAACTCTAATTTATTATATAGTCAGAACCAGGAGAGATGATCTTTACGTCATAGCATAAATTGTACTGTCAGGAATAATGACAACAAATTTATATTATGATTTTGCGAAGTTAGGTTATTTCACTGATTATGTTTATGTTCATTTTATTTCATGGTTTTGAGTAATAATAATCTTACTGCGGATTTTAAAAAAAAACAGTTATGATTAGAATACCTTAAGATAGAAACACCAAAGACCAAAGTATTATTGGAAAACAACCTAAGTTGATTTTACATAACCTAACTACTCATCTTTCAAATATGATCGATCATGCAACATGAAAACATCGTCTAACTTTGTAGGATACATGCATAATAGCAATATAGTTTGTTTAGACAATGAAATTTTGTTTGTCTCTGTCTAGCATATCTGAAACTTCATTAAAAATATTCACAAAACGCTGTCGTTTGTCTTTATTACAGACTAAAATGATGACGTAATCGTCATCTTTTGTGATTTCGACTATACCTAATACTTTACTAAACAGGTCAATAATTCTTTTTCTAAGTGCACGCTTGTATGATTTTACATTCACCAAGCCGATCGTGTGCATCTTCGTGTATCCTCTCTTAATAACGTCACTGGTAGAAGGAGTGTATCCACCCACGTGCCTATCTGACCGTTAGCAATTAGATGGATTCGAAACCAGTTTATGCCGGCCCAATTCACATCAGTACAAGATCGTGGGACGTCCCTAAAGTGAGCGCATATAACTTAACGGGAATAGAGGGCAGCTGGAGCAAGTAGCGTCACATTATCGTCCATCAGGGGCGTACATTGCATTCATCGAACATAAGCGTCTATTGCGTATGTTAATGTGACTGTTTAATAGTGCATTCAACAGAGATGCTCTTAAAGCACCGATACTTTGTCAATACCAATACTGTGTACCAAAGCTCTATAATTTATTAAAATTAACAAAACGATTAATTTGAGCTTATAGTAGGTAGCATGTTCGCAGCTAACTTTTTCTGAGAGAGGCTAACTTGTATCAGTTATGGTAAGAGCGTTTTATAGAAAGTGGAGTTCACCTACTTGAAACCATTTTTGCTGCAGGAATACTTACTTAGCAAGTTATATCCATGTTAAAAGAAATATAATTTTTAATCTAGTTCATTGTTTAATCTAAGCCACTAAAGGATTAACAAAGCTATCCATCTATTAGCGGTGTGTTGTTAAGTAGCGTCAAAACAACTAAAAATTATGAAGGACTTCTACTTGAGCTCATAAAGATAGACCATAACAACTGCAAGTCTGCACAGATCCCCTTAGCAGAGCGATAAAACTAAGAAGTGCACACTAAATAAAACACAGTGTGTGTATGTATTTCCGTATTGCTCGTAAAACGGTCGTATCTTGAAATTATTGTTCATAACTTTTATCTTTGAAAAGCAGCAGTTCTAATGTAGTAGCGATATTACCGTTTCTGGAACAAGTTGGTCAAGATTTTGTTTGCAACAGTGGCGTGAAAACTACTTTTCTTGGAAATTTACCAATATTTCTTAGCTTTATAGCTTAAATTTGGAATACCTAATGCGTGAACAAAATGGATTATGATTAAGCTCTGCTTTTGGAGCTATTTGTACTGCGATGTGTTTTCTGAAGGTTTGTTCGGGTGCGCCACTAAAAAAGGCTCCAAATTGCACACAATCAGTTGGAATCGCTAAAGATGTTTCTTTGTAACTCTTAAAACCAACGTGCCTTATTAATCAATATTTTAAAGTATGACCTTTGCATTGGTTGGTTTTAATAACGAATGATAATTTGTGTAATCGACCTCAAAAAACTAAAACCATTGATACGGTACCTACAGAGGTGCTAAATGATATGGGAGTTTCCTAAGGCAGGGGATTGAAACCTTTACTATTTTTAATTTATTTAATAATCCTAGGATCAGATGATCTGAGTCCTTTTGCTGATGGTACGATGCTTTTTGTTTCTGACTAGCTTATTAACAATGCAGTTGACAAAATTAAAACTCGTTAAGAAACGATGAGTACAAAACATAAAAGAAATGTTGATAGTAATTTAATACTCATTCGGATCCGTGAGTATGATATAGAAATAGATTTAGAATTCAAATTTTATTCATTACAAAAAATTGCATTATCGGTCTCACTTTGGCTATTGGGCTTCAATACCATCTATTTAATCGAAACGAGATATCGCAGTTCGCAGCAATTGGGCCTCTGTTACTCCACTACGTGGAAAATTTTGCGACAGGATTTGGGTGTAAAACCTTATAAGATACAGCTGGTGCAAGAATTGAAGCCACACGACCTCCCACAACGTTTCCAATTTGGCGAATGGGCGCTGGCAAAGCTGGAGGAAGATCCACATTTTTATCGAAAAATTGTGTTCAGCGACGAAGCTCATTTCTGGTTGAATGGGTACGTTAACAAGCAAAATTGCGGCATCTTGAGTGAAGACCAGCCAGAAGCATTGCAAGAGCTATCAATGCATCCGGAAAAAATCACTGTTTGGTGTGGATTATGGGCCTGTGGCATCATCGAGCCGTACTTCTTCAAAGACGACAATGGCCGAAACGTAACTGTGAATGGCGAGCGCTACCGTGCGATGATAACAAACTTTTTTTTGGCCAAAATAGAAGAGCTGGACTTGGCTGACATGTGGTTTCAACAAGATGGTGCCACATGACACACCGCACACGAAACAATGGCCCTATTGAGAGGCGAGTTCGGTGAACAGTTTATCTCACGTTTGGGGCCCGTGAATTGGCCGCCTAGATCGTGTGATTTAACGTCGTTGGACTATTTCTTGTGGGGCCATGTTAAGGCTAATGTCTACAGGGATAAACTAGCAACGATTGACGCACTGGAAGCTAATATTGAAGCATTTATTCGTGAGATACCGGCCGATATGTTGGAGAGAGTGTGCCAAAATTGGACCTTGCGCATCTGCCATCTAAAGCGGAGCCGGGGGCCAACATTTACATAAAATAAACATTAAATTATATCGAACGTTATATCGACTCAAATAAAGATTTAATCGTTTTTTCAAATTTTTGTGTTTTTTTGAAAATCAAATCCTATACCTCTTAAAAAATCACCCGTTAAAATACTAAATTATAGTGCATGTATAATTAATCTGTTTTGTAGAGGATTAATAAAATTTAATTCACTACCAAGTCATACAAAAAACTCTAATAACATTAGTAGTTTTCGGAAAGCATTGATAAAATATTTAAAAAAAGGTAAGTGAATTTTTCAAATAATAATTTATTTTTTATCAGATACAGATACTACTAATGGATGATATCTATGTTTTTAATTGATTGTCGATTACTTTCCGTGGCCGGCATATGAGGCCTACCAGGTGGACGGAAAGTTACATATACGTAACGCACATGCAAACTTTAAAATTAGTTCTCTCAATTTTTTTTCAAACCAACACCACTTTTTTTTTCACGAAAATCAGTGCTACAATGAGTCCTTCATATCCAAGACCGATTATATTCCATGGCCGGGGCATATTAAACCTACCAGGCGGAGCGAAAGTTACCTATACGAAACGCACATGCCAACTTCAATTTAAAAAAAAACACCACTTCTTTTTCACGAAAATTAATGCCATAATGAGTCCTTCATATCCATGATCGGTTACATTCCGTGGCCAGAGCACATTAAGCCTACGCAGACGCAAATTTCAAAATTAGTTTTCTCAGTTTTCTTCAAATAACACTTTTCTTTTACGAAAATCAATGCTACAATGTGTAGTTCATATCCGGGATCAATTACATTCCGTGACCGGGGTCGGAGGAACATCTACGTCAAGTAGATTTCAATAACATTTTAGCTGATTAGAGTTGACACAATTATCTTTGTGGTATATTCTGAGGAATAAAACAAACAATTTCGTAATTCTCGTACTTATTTCCAATATAACTGTGCTACGGTAGGGTAGTAGTCGTATACTATCGTACATATCATGTCACTAACACTGCTCTCATCGTCATGAAAAGCTGAGTTTATCTATCGCGCTATAATTTCAAGATGTATGCCTGTGATAATATTTCATGACGGGCCGATCCGATGTTGCCGACTGTTCAAATCATCTAACTTTGTCTTTTATGGGCAATGCTCAGACTTAAGGCCACATTAAACTTTCCAGAATATAATGTTTATTTTTATGCTTTACACTTTAAAGAGGTTGGTGTATAATAGAATCAGATATTTTTTATTAAGCGGCGAGCTGGAAACCGTCACAAACCGAGAGATATGGAACTGATTCAACTCATTCAAGAGATAATCCCAAGTTTTAGAGCCATATTAGATTTTCCGTATGCTACTACATAATAGTTTCGCCTATATAATTTTCAATGCATCTATTTGAATATTATTTGCTTTAAATGGGTGTTATCATAATGCCGTTTTATATCAAACACCATTTTATGTACAACGCCTGAGCGTATAGGGTGTTCTTAAAGTTGCGACTTTACAGAATGTCAACAATAAGATATCTGAGATATTATTTTCCGAAAAATCAAAATAGTCCGGTCCTGCTCTGCGTCAAACGTGAAAAGGCATGACGTGTGTCAGTACCCAAATCAGGCGACGCGCGGTGTGTAGGATAACCTGCTTACAACTCGGATTTGAAAAACCAAAATTGGCACATAACGTTGTTATCGATATGATGTTAGATTACAGCGTCTTCAAGATTTTATTGATACTTTGCCAGTGTGTTCTTGATCGTTTTTCGAGTTGTTGTATCGCGCCAGGGTCGTGAAGCTGGATACAGAAGAAGACGCGGATAGACTTAAATGTTGCTTCAGGAAGAAGATAATAAATCCATATTTTTGTATCAAACGTTGAACACTTCAAAACGTATTTACGAGAAAAATGTGGCAGATCAGTACTTGGAAGTTCTTACCAAAAGAGTAGTGAGTATTTTCTTTCAATTTCTTTTTCTTATGTTTTCGTTGCTGCTTTACCGCACATTATTAGCTTTGTTATTAGAAACTTGGTTGTTTCGGAAAAGCAAAAGCAAAAGTTCGAAGAAGTTATGCACTGTTCATTAGAGTGAATATGTACATTCTTTTGATTACGTTAAGTCCCAGTCAATGACATTTTAGAACTGTATCGCTGATGATAACAGGCGAGTCTATAAAATGCAAGGATATAATACCATTTCTTGCTTAAGTGAACATTGTGAAATGGTAAATATACTAAGTGACATATAAATCCGAACACCCAGTTTAAATGGTTTTATTTTAATAAAATTGTGTATAAGTACTTAATGAAGCATAATAAGTAAATGATAAAAATTTCAAAATGATTGAACTGCTTTAAAGCCCTTTAACCTTTAATAATGTGTAGATGCACCCTGATGTGCTACGCATTCTCCAACGCGCCTAGGCATGCTTCTGATCAGGTGGTCAATGTCCTCCTGTAGTATCTCACTCCAGGCAACCACCAACTCCTCTCGAAGTGCTTCTAGAGTCTGAGGAGGACGTTGCAAATTGAGCAATCTCCTACCCATCATGTCCCACACGTGTTCAATTGGGGATAAGTCGGGAGATCCTGGTGGCCATGGTAACAATGTGACATCATTATGTTGAAAGAAGTCTATTGTGACTCTTGCAACATGTGGTCGGGCATTATCTTGTTGGACAGTTGGATCTGCAAGGGTGTCAAGATAGGGTAAAAGATGGGGTTCTAGAACTTCGTGGATATAACGCTGCGCGTTCATGTTACCTCTGATGAAAATTAAAGGTGACCTGGAACCATAAGCTATAGCACCCCAAACCATAACTCCAACAGTGTGATGAACATGTCTTTCAACAAAAAACTGTGGATTCCTCCTTTCACCACGTCGCCTTCTAACCCTGGCACGACCATCGTGCATGCCTAAACAAAATCGAGACTCGTCACTAAAGACAGTACTGTTCCATTCCTGATCCCAGAGTGACCGTTGTCTGCACCACTCAAGGCGATTACGTCGGTGTTCTCGAGTTAAAGGGAGGACCCAGTGTGGCCGGTATGAAAACAAGCCAAAACTTCTCATTCGTCGGTAAACACTTCGCATGCCAATAGGTCTTCCGTGTTCTGCAAACCATTCATTTGTAATTGACATGGTAGTGGAGAAACGGTCCCTTAAGGCCAATAATCTTAGGCGGCGATCTTTACGGTCTGTTGTTCTACGGCGGCGTCCAGTGCCCCTTGCTCTTTGCGTACGGCCTTCTCGAAGCTATGCCTGACAACACCTAACCACAGTGTCTACACTTCTTTGCACTCTAACTGCAATTGCCCGAAAAGAAAGTCCCACTATCGGCCCCTATCAAACTCACTAAGTTGACGAAATCGTACAGGTCTCCGTACCCTAGGCATCGTAACCGATCGTAAAGGATGTCAAGAACCAAAATCCGCCAACTTTGATTCTTTACTGCGGCTCAAATATTCATTTTTAGAGCGTTAGTGAATTAAAAAAAAACAGTATAAAAACCGGAATGTCCAACTGATAAGGCTGACAATTTTTCCACTTGTTAGTTACAGTACTTTTATTAAAATAAAACCATTTAAACTGGGTGTTCGGATTTATATGTCACTTAGTATAGTATGAACCGAGACTTTTCCATATCTGGAAATAAAAACGTTTCAAATTAATTTTTTACGGATATACAGGATAATTTATCTATCATGCCAAGTGTTCTGTATCACATATCGCAGGCACCATTGAAACAATTTTGTTGAAATTTCACACCATAAGAGTTACCGAGAAATGACGTAAGACAACACAACACGGTCAAAAAATACAATGCCGGATTCGATTTCTGATTTTTTTGTTTTTTATCAGAATCAACACCACCTAAACTGATTATTGAAATCTATCTTCAAAAAAGCTAATGATCAACAAAATTTGGTTTTTCAGTTAAACCTTTTTTTTTTACTCAATCATCTTATTTTTAGCAGATATGTGGAATGAAACACAAGATTTCAAGGGTTAACAACACGATTTCAACAATTTCGTACAAAATAATGGTAACTAAAAATTCCAGAGGTAGATTCAGTTTTTCTATCTCCGTCCATTTAATTAAGTCCAACACCCTGTAAGTTATACTCTTAGTTTATTATTATTTTCCAGATAGCCATATGTCATTATAAATAAAAAGGAAAATTAAAAAATGTTATGTACGCTTAGTTTTGTCAGTATTTTCTATGATTCAATTCTGTACACTGATGCTGTACAAAAACATCGGTACTGCTTTAAAGGTAAACGGCATTTAGAATGCAAATGAACTGAGTTTGACTCTCAAGACCATTCCAAAATTATGATGAAAATGTAGAAAAACCTAATTTACAGTTTCAGTCCAGTTACATTTACGAGCTCCCATCACGTTGAGTTTAATTACATAAGTACACAAATACTATACGGTTCAGTCGATCTTTAGATTAATATCCGCTTGGTCTGTAAGGTCAAATTTAGTGGATTGCATATTAAGTACCGTTTCTTTTTTAAGCGGAAATCATGTTGTTGTATAATATCAATTGATAGAAATAGGGCAACTTTATTTTTATTTATATCATGCATTGTTATTTTTCTTGCGAAATAATGAAAAATACAGAGTGTAAATTACAGGGCGTTGTTCTTAATGGAATACAAAGAAATAAAAAAAACCTAATTCCACCTTGGAACTTTGAGTCCCCAAAACATCATCAGCTTAACTTTAAACATTATTTTGTAAAATATTGGTGAAACCTTTCAAATTTTGAAATTTGTGTTACGTAAAGTATTACAAATAAAATATTTGAATAAATAAAAAATAACTAGAAAGTCAATCTATTCTGCTAATTAATTAGTACCATTGCTTGGCATTTTGGTACATAAGAAGGATTTTTACCGTGCAGAATCTCAACAATATCGGTTCAATAGTGCCTAACATATGTGATATTCACCCTGTTTACCAGTAAAAACTGAATTTAAAGCTCGTTCATATTCAGATATGAAGAGGTCTCTGTCCACACTACCTATCATTTCACTATGTCCATTTAAGTACGGAACATCAGAATGGTATGTCCATATTTCTACCTGCGCGAGCCCTGCAATGCGATATGTACAATATTAAGCCACATCCCTCCTACATCTGAATTACTAAGGTATGCTAGGAATTTTGGCGGAGCCTTTCTGCTCACAACAAACACGCTCTGAATGTTGCTCATAACAAATGCTTTACAGGGACAGGATGAAATTGAGTCCAGCAATACTACCGAGTAATATGCAACAGAAATGACGACTGTGTTCTGTGTACTGGCCTACAAAGGTTACAAAAAGGTAGAATCCCGCATCGTCTTTTTGATAATATGTTCAGACTTTGGCCTCCAATAAACGTCGTTCAGTGGATTTCAAAGATGGAAACGTCAGATATCGCTTAGAGACCGAAAGGGAGCATTTTTCAAAATGGCGGTGAACTCAGAACTTGTGTAAACTGAGCTTTACATTCACTAATATATCGAACGTGCAAAGGACATAATATATCAAGACAATTGCACTTGAGTAAATCCGTTATACCTTTCATTATTTATATGAAATTGCCAAATGCTAAAATCGCAGAGAACCTTTTGCTCTGAACTTTTTTGATAGGTCCAACAGCACTACTTAGTGCCGAAAAAATAACATGCACTTAAAGAACCGATTATTGTGACATTCACCCTGAATAATCTGAGATTATTCCAGACTTTTGATCCAACGTTAAGACAAATCTGATATAAAGTTTCCACGTTATCATCCTTTATCGGATTATTTTATTAAATTCTATAAGACTCACCTAGACCGTAAGCACGAGGCGATATCGATATCCTCATCTCCGGTAGCATCCGTTGCTAGGCAACCAGTTTGTTTTCCGACGCTTAACCGTATCGAATCTGCATCGTGGATGGTGGCCCACGAGCTCAGAGCAGTCCCACTTAGAAGAATCACTCGATGAAATAATCCTGGAACCAAAGAGGAACATTTAGGGGTCACTCTCATAAAGACTGCCAGTTTTGAAGTTACTGTAAATCATATAATCTTGGCCGTATGTGCAGACTTTTTTTACTGAGATAGCTAAGCGGGCTGCAAAGATCCAATCAAAATTTAAAGTAGCCTTTAAGTAGAATCGACCGTACTACTTTGACACCAGCAGTTGCGTCGTCGCCTAGCAATAAATAAATAAGGTGAAGACTGAAAAGTGGACTTAACGCTCACAAAACCAATCCACGAAGTATACTTCTCCACCTAGGCGTAGGTTAAAAACAAAATGTCCGAAAACCAAAAACATTTAGCACAACTGAAGCCAAAAATATTTTTTCACTACCAATCAGAGAAATTGCCATTATATATATTGTCTTATAGAGAAGTAGTATTTCTCGCTATAGATAAATGATGAATTAAAAATTGTATCCTATCAATCTCATTGTGTCAGTTTGATACGAGGGATGTCTTTTAAGATTTGCATATAGAAACATAGTAGGCCGCGCGGATCGAACGTCAGTACTGAATCTCTTTAGTAAACTTAAATTTAAACAAGACGTGCAGTGTTCTCACTACAGTGAATTTTTAAGTGTCACCAAGTCATTAGAAAAATGGAACTCAACCGAGAACGTTTTCGCGCCATAATTTATTATAAGTTTCAGAGACAATTATCGCAACAAGAATGCCTTGCTGAGTTACTGTCTGTTTTCGGCCACATCAGTCGACAATTTCCCGTTGATGTGGAGAATTCAAACGTGGACGGGTGAGTCTTAGTGACGATCCCAGGGTGGGTGCACCAAAAACGGCAGTCACCCAGGAAAACGTCGATGCTGTGCGCAATCTCATCGTTGAAGATAGACATGTGACATATCGCGAAATTGACGTATCCTTGAAGATATCAAAGACCTCAATTAAACAAATTTTATATGAAGAATTAGGATTAGGAAAATTAGTTTCTCGTTGTATACCCCATCTGTTGACTGAAGAGCAGAAAGCAGCCAGGGTTAATTGGTGTCAAAAAACTCTTGACCGTTTCAATTCCGGAAACTCAAAAATGTGTACAGCATTGTTAGTGGTGATGAGTCGTGAATTTACTGTTATGAACCAGAAAATAGACACAATTGCAACAATTACTCTTAATGAGCAAAGAACTGTTACTGCGGATTGGTATACCACCATTTGTTTGCCAAAAGTCATCACCGAGCTTCAAAAAGGCAACCCCGATAGAAGAATCATCCTCCACCAAGACAATGCAAGCTCGCACACAGCCCAAAGAACAAGGCAGTATTTAACGGAAGAAAACGTGGAATTATTGGACCATCCTCCATATAGTCTCGATCTAAGTCCTAGCGATTTCTTTACTTTCCCGAAAATTAAAAACAGACTCCGTGATCAAAGGATCCAGTCACCAGAAGAAGCAGTTGACGCATTCAAAAAAGCCGTTTTGGATCTGCTAGCAAACGAGTGGAATAAGTGCTTCGAAAATTGGTTCAAGCGCATGCAGATGTGTATTAATCTTCGTGGAAAATACTTCGAAAAACAATAAAGTCATTTAAAACTACCTACCGTGTTGTTTTATTTCTATATGCAAAACTTAAAAGACATCCCTCGTAACTAATAAATATCCTAGAACGATTGAAAAATAAATAATTTTGAGTATAATATAGTTTTCCTTGTTTATAGTGCAGGAACCAACATACTGTTTGAAAACGACATTTAATGTTAATGAAAGGAAAACATTTGTTCCTTATTATATTATTGTATATTATTCCTTATAGTATTGCCTTATCGGCCTTTCCTGCCCGAATTTTAGAAATTACTCCCGCGGAGAACGATTTGATTCTGTTACTATATTATTCCCTTATTACCTACAAGCAATTTCTGACTGTCAGACACTATATACGTCTTCCGTACATATTAATGATATGATTAACCGATTAACTGCAGAACGGTACCTTCAATTGTTGCAACATGATCCAGAAGACTGTCAGGATAATTTACATTCGGCAAAAGTTAATAGCTGTTCGTCTCAACAAGACGGTATTCCTGCACATAACTTTAGGCAAATTCGCGGAATGTGGCTCGGAACTTCCAGTGAAGTGTTCTGGTCAGAGCATACCCCAGACTCAGCTTCTGGGGACTATCTTGTTCGAGGTTTTATAAAAAACCGAATCCACCAGCTTACTTTTGATTCTAAGCAGAAGCTACGAGAATGTGTAATGGAAGCATTCAGTGATTACACCAGAAATCTTACATGATGTTTTGAATTCGACTATTGGAAGACCATATTTATGTTTGGAAAATATTGACAACCCATTTGAATACCTTGTGATTAAAATAGAAATGATGTTATCACTACAAATATCACTAGATTAAGCATGATTTTATTAAATTTAACCCGATTATAACGTTGTGTACGAGGGCGGTTCAATAACTACCCGTGTTTGACGACAGAGAGCGTTCCTGAGGGGAGTTACTGTTATCATCGTGTGCTGCCATCTATCAAACCGCGGCTCAACAAATTTCAGACTGATTGATAGGTTAGTTTGTATTTGGCAGCCATTAGAGTGACACGTGTTTCGTAATTTTCGCTAGAATGGAAAAAGAGTAGTATCGTTTGGTAATTCGCTTTTTCTTTTTGGATGGGAAAAAATGCGGGGAGATAAAAGCAAAGTTGGATACTGTTTATCGCCATCTATGACCACTGTTAGATATTGGTAAAACGAATTTAAACGTGGGCGAACATCCGTTTTTGATCGGGATCGACCAGGACGCCCGGCAGACGTGGTTACCGAGGAAATCATTCAAAAAGCCCACAACATGATTCTCGCTGATTGACAAACGAAAGTGCGCGAAGTAGCAGAGTCCATAGGTTTCAATATTCTACATGATAAGTTGGTTATGAAACAATTGTCGGCCCGATGGGTGCCGCGATAAAAAAATGGCAGGAACTTTGCGAAAAGTGTATCTTTCTAAAAGGACATTATGTTGAAAAATTTTTTGGAAAAAGTAGTGTCTTTATGTCTAACGCGGGTACTTATTGAACCACCCTCGTAATATGCATCTATCAGTAATCACATAATCTTACATCAAGCATTTGTCTGCCACGCTTGCTTAAGTAAAAAAACACATAACTAAGATAACAAACATGCCATACATCGTTGAATTCGTAGACAAAAATGTTTTTAGATACAGGGTGTACTTTTCTTTCGGTCCATATAAAAAATAAAGTTGTTGGTTTCTCAAGAACGAAACCTCGGGCACGAAGTTTAAAAACACCATCATATAGTGCCTGAAAAGTGCCAATGAGAAAGTCCCACTAGATTTTTGATATTTTTTCAAAATAGATTCAGAAAAAAATATAAACGATTTGACCAAATTTTATATTTTTATAAAAAATAAAGTTGATGGTTTCTCAAGAACGAAACCTCGGGCACAAAGTTTAAAAACACCATCATGTAGTGCCTGAAAAGTGCCAATGAGAAAATCCCACTAGATTTTTCATATTTTTTCAAAATAAATTCAGAAAAAAATATAAACGATTTGACCAAATTTTAGTTTTTTCCAAATATCTTAGTAATTAATGAAATTTGATTATAAGTTGGCCCCAATGAACGCAACTTCTTCCTAATTTAGCCTAAGCTGTATATCCTACAGATATTGCGATCCCCATGCATAGACTTCTTATCTTGGACCGTTCAGGACTATCGAAAGTTCATTGTGGGAAAGAACTGTCTGAACCTGTACATAGTACGTGGTAGCTTCAGCTTTAGGTTAAACAACGATGGGCGCTCATCTGACAGTATCTGACAATTGTAAAGAACACAATTTGAAACTAAATCCTGATAAAACGAAACTTGTTCTTTTCTGTTCTGATCACAAGCGAGAAAACTTGAATGAACAACAACTTTATTTTTCAACTAGCTGTAAGATACTTGGTTTGATCATAGATGACGAGCTACGTTACCAACAACACATTAAAACAATATCTCGGAGGTGTTATTTGAAACTGCGAGTACTGTATGCCAATAAGTACATTATCAACTTCAAGACGAGGAAAAAGCTGGCTGAAAATTTAGGGCTATCAATTATCAGTTGTGGTTTGATAGTTTTTTATCCATGCCTGGACTATTCGACTCAAATGCGTCTGCAGAGATTGCAGAATAACTGCTGTCTGTAACTTACGTAAATTTGACCACATATCTAACAGTTTCAGGCTTTTACAATGGCGTAATATTAATTCTCTACTCAAATATTTTTACCTAACGACATTCGTGTATTATATTCTAAGAATCCTGCATATTTAGTAGAAAAGCTGGTCCTTAGGTCAAGTATACGTAATGTGAATATAAGACATCAAAACCATTTTACAATGCCTATGTACTATATGTAATATCCTCTTTTATAGATCTTTAACATCTATAGCAGGAATATCGATATATCAAATACTAATAACATCCGTTTCAAACTGCATCTCAGACAATATCTAGAAATTCAGCATAGGATCAATGAATAAATGCCCTGTGATCAATTACCATTATTTTCTTTTTTTAGTTAGACTCATAGACATACAATCGTTTCCTGAAGATGCAAAATACCATATCATGTCAAATTAGGATTAAGCTTTAGTCTTTAGAAAGGTTGAGTGTAAGAATAGCTATGCTAAACTCCGCCAATAAAGCCGTTTATTATTATTATCTGCTGGCGTCTGAAAATTGCGCTGAGTGTACCTTCTGGGTAGCCAGTTCTATGGTATACTCGTAACACCAAAAATTGTAACGTCGCGCGGTTATGGTTTGTACAACGCCACTAAGAAGATACGGGCTTTTAGCGAGGGAAGAAAGCCGCTAGCGACAGTGAACATTTACTTGCAGTTATGCCATTAAGTAAAACTTTAGGTAAGGGCGGAGTTCATCAAAAACAAATTGAAAGTGCCTGGTACCTACAAACTTGAAAACTGTTATCTTATCGTTCCGGCTAAGCTGAATGAAGTTGTTTAATCTATCTGAGTGCAATCATTGTTTAAGCCGTAAGCGCTCTACTTAATCGCCGTTTGGAAGTTTTAATGAGAAGGTGTAACACTGAAGTTTCTGCACAGGAATTACCGCCCGGCTCCCGAGCAACATATAATAGAGGTCTTTTATTAGTTTTAATATCCTCCTAGACGCGAGTTTCCGGTAGCGGTGACTCGTAAGGAGGGCTTTGAGGTGCAACCCTTACATAAACATGGTACCAGATAATATATTGAATGTACGAGGTCCGGTAATGGGGTTCTTGAAGGCAAAAGACGTTCGAATCGTTGAAATTCACCGGCAGCTTGTTGAAGTTATTATTGAGGCTTAGGCGCGCTATTCAAACCCATCGACGGGGCATGTTCTCTAGCGACGTCGTTCTGCTTCACGACAACGCTTGGCCACTTGTAGTGGCAAGAAACCAGATGCAACTAGACAAGTTTCTGTGGGAATCACTAGATCATCCACCATAGAGTCCTGACTTCGCATCATCAGACTTTCATCTGTTCAAGACTTGAGGAAATTCTTGGTGGAGAGGGCTTTGGAACACGTTGAAAGCCTGACCAATAAACCAGTTACTGCGTTCTTTGACGAAAGCTGATGCTACGAATTGTCGAATGTTTTAAATATTTATGGTGACTCTGTTCAAAAGCGAAAACAAGGTATTATTTTACTTAAAAGATAACCTTCCTAAATATTTCAAGCCGCCACCTGTTGTACCCGGTAGACAGACAAGCCAGGTATGTAGTCAGAAAAGAAAAAACGAAACGTCTCATTGAAAATCTAGAGAGGAATATGAGTAGCTTACCTCCTTAAAGCATAACTAAGTGTCTTCACTTTGAAAGAAAAGTGATAAAACTTCTCCTCCAAAGATATGATGTAATGCAAAACCGGGCTCCATTCCCATTACATTTTAAGGACTGCCTACTAAGTGCACTCAAACTTGCTCATCTACATTCTGACAAAGTAACATATACTTTTGTACATACGAGCTCCTTCCCACTTCAGTTGGCCCAACCATTGAAATCTTAGTTTTTTTCTTATCAAACACAAATAATAAAAATGTAGCAGGTTTAAAATATTAACAATGAATATTTTGATAATATAAACACCAACTTTATCACTCCCTAATCAATTTTGTAGCATAAAGTAACACATGTTGCAATTACAGCATACCAACCTATTTTAATTTCAATGCAAAATAAGTCTATAACGCATAGGTGGCTGTGAAAAATAAAAGTCATGACAATTGTTTTTATTAATCACAGCTGTCAGAATACGTTTAAAATAGTTTTGGATGGTTAAGGTTTTCAAAATGGGTAGAGGAAAGGTTATTAGTGAAAAAATTCGGTTACTGATAATCAAATTTTTTAATTCTGGGAAATCAAACTAGGAAATTGCAACTTTGTTAGACTTATCGCGGTACAGTGTGAGAAATATTGTTAGAAGATATATCGTAACTGGTTCAGTTAATATTAAGCCACGATATGTGAAAAAAAAAGTAATATCACAAATGCCGACCGAAGAGCATTAAGAAGAATAATCGTGA